GACCAGGAAATACCAGGAATAGAAGCCCCCGTCTAACACCTCCGGAGGAACTGCCTCTGCAGCTCCCAGGGTGAGGAGCTGAAACACCTCCACCTGCAGGAGATGCTCATGAGAGGGGTCCCTGAAAAGGGACGGAGCAGGGGAATGGGAGGAAGGAGGAAAACGGAAGGAGATGACGTACCCCCTTCCCACCATTTCTAGGACCCAACGGTCCACCCAGGCCTGGTGGAAAGGGAATAGATGGTCCCAGAAAGGGTTGTGGGGAGGTTTGGCCTGGGGGAAGTAACTGCCCCGACGTAGGCAACCGGGTCAGTGGAGTCGCTGAAGGGGGTGCCTTGGACCCAGAGAGAACCGACTTCAGTCTGGAGAAGCCCATGCCTTGGCTCTGGTGGTAGGCCCATCAGGTCCAGAACAGCCACTGAGACAGTCCTGGAGCCTGTGGGGGCCAGGACTGTTGCATCACCAGTACCAGGATTGGCTGCGCCTATTGATGCTGCTGCTGATGAGTGGAGGCACTCTGGTGTCATGATCGGTGCCAGGATCTGGATCCCCTGAACGACCACATGGACTCCACCTCTGAGTCAGCTGAATACTCTGATGCCGAACATGGCAGGGTAGACGCAGACGTAGTCGGTGATCTGGCTGACGCGGCGTGCCGAGCCATCGACTCCGGCTTACCCCAGTGCACACGGGGAGAATGAGGAGGTATGGCCAGGCTAAGCCTGGGAAGCACTGAATGGGTCGCGGTGGCCAGTGCTGCATTCGGTGCCGGTCGAGACCCTCAGCCTGGTGCTGGGTCCAGGCAGCACTTGGGGCTGGAGCAGCATGGGAGGTGACCACAACAGAGCGGTGCTTCTTATGATCCAATGCTGGGCCTCCCAGCGCCCTAGGATCTAATTGGTGCTACCTGGGGTCCCAATCCTTTCCTGAGGTCGGTGCTGGTGTAGGAGAGTAGGACAGTTCAATCAGATTCCTGGCACCTCGAAAGCTTCCGGAGTATAGAGCTCTGGGAAGTCCCCCATCAGGTTGGCATCCTGGTGCGAACTTGGTTGCTTGCCCAACCGAGACGTTCCGAGCTCAGTGCCTGATGGTGCCGCACGCCCCACTTGAGGGCGCATGGAGGGCATGCACCGTGGGGTTGACCTACACCTGCTAAACCTCCTCTTCTTCGGAGACACCGGGGACTGGAACAGTGCCAAGGTTTGCGTGATGCTGGGGAGGCACAAGAGTGGCCTGACGCCTCCCACACCGAGGCTAGAGCACTCTGCGTTGCCGGTGCCGGGTCCGACGCCGGTGCTGGACATAAAGACGCCTCCATTAGAATGATTTTCAGGCGCGACTCTCTCCTGCTTCGTTCGCAGTTTAAATGCCTTAGCAATTTTACAGGCCTCGGACAAGTGAGCTTCTCCCAAGTACTTAAGGCAAGCAGAGTTTGGGTCACCACAGGGCATAGGCCTCTGGCACTTTTCACAGGGTTTGAAGCCCAGAGAGCAGGTCATGCCCGGCCGCAGGCGCTGAGCATAAGGAGCAAGGACTGTGGTAGGTCTTTAGAACACTTAACAACTACTTAGAGAACTGATAAGAACCATAACTGCTGAAACTAGAACAAAGGGCTTTAGAAAGGAGTGACTGCTGAAGGGCGCTTGCTAGACAAGAGCAAGAGCATGTTCCAACCACGGTCAGGGGCAGTAAGAAGGAACTGAGGGAATGAAGGGCCAGCAGGGGTATACATTGGCCGGTATACTGAGGCCACTCCAATGGACTCCCCTGCTGGCCCAACAGGTACAGCTAAGAGAAAATGTTCCATCGACGCATGTACACTGTGTGCACAGACCTACATGAAATGGACATGAGCAAGCACTTGAAGAGGAATGAGAAACACCAACTCAAAAGGCAGTTGAACATCTGTATCTTTTTAAGGCAAGAAAGGACCCTGCAAAGTATATAAATTAATTGCTGAGCAGCCAGGAAAAAAAATCTCCTCTCGGAAGGCATGTAACAGTTTGTGAAACCTGGGACTGAACAAGAAGCATCCTCCCATGGATCCGAAGGGACATCAGGGACTGTCATGGCCTCACGGTCAGTCTCCGGGAAGCTGATGCCTGGTCAGCTCCAGCCGCCTGTGAAATCAGAAATAATCTATGCCACACCTGTAGCCTGCCTCTAAACTGTGTGCATGAATGTGATGTGTGTGTGGGTATTGCTATACCTTTAAGAATCCATACTAATAAAGATTCAGTGCTGCTTAAGTTTGTCCTTTGTTTGGTTATTCCTGAGCTAAGTCCAAGGACAGGTAAACAACCTCTATACACACTATCAAATATTTACCACAGCAGCAGAGGGACTTCTGCCTCTCCCTGACCCTTCCAGTCTGCTCTCAGAGAACGCTCCTTTATGTGGTTCAGGTACTTTCTGTAAAGCTCAGTTGCGAGTCAGCTGACGAGTCACAGGTGCACAGAATCTGCCTCTCCCTTAAAGGGACCAGTCACCTTGTGACAACGACATTTTTTTCATTCTTCAGGTTGCTACCAGAAACACTCAAACTCTCATGTTCCAAAGGAGGCAAATTTCTGCTCCATGTCTCACCACCACTTAGATGCAGGAATCAGAACTCAGCTGATAATTGTGCCATTGATGTAGGAAGCAGAAGATACTTTTGTGTTTTTCTTGTGCTGCTGTTTTATTGGTCCTGTGCCAGGAGTTCTAGGCATGTGGTGGATTGTAAAAAGCTCTTTACTTGGAACAGTATGTATCTCCTGGTGCACCAGCACAGATATTCTGTCTAGCACACTGCAACGGGGAGAGGCTTCCCTCCCCTTTCCTCCTTGTGGGGGGTACAGAATCCTTGGAGAAGCTGCTCCCCGTGCTCTGGATGCCCCTTGGTCCCCTGTGAAAGTGTGAAGAATGCACCACAATCTACCCATAAGATTGTAAACTCTAAGTTTATTTGTATAGCACCTAGTACAAGGGGACCAATCCAATTGGTTTTCTGGATACTACTGCAATAAAAACAAAATACAGATAAAAACAATAAATAGTGTACAGATATGTTTTGCAAGACACACACTGCAAGCGACATAGTAATAAGACACTACTGCGACATAATTGCTTTTGTGACCAGACCGAGGTACAGTTTAAAATCACAGAAACATGAGACAGAATGATACATTAGGTCTTCTAACCCATTCATCTGCCAGTGCAGATGACTGGATGGAGGTACCTGCTCCTCTCTATCAAATAAAAGATCTACTGCTCCCAGTTGTATGTGGCATCTGGCTTCTATCCAACATCACAATTTAAACAAAAATATTGTTCAAGACTCATACCGGTGAAACCCCCACAAGTCTTATGACAGACACAACCTTAAGTGCGCTCTCTCTCTCTCTCTCTCTCTCTCTCTCACACACACACAGCAAGAGAGAGAGCAAAGACTCAGGATTAAAGACAAAGCTGTGGTTAAGAGCACTGTCCTATAGTATAGTACCACTAAAAACATGCTACTGACACTTTCCAAACTGAAAGGAGTGAAAAAATAAAAAAACTTTCCATCACAGAAACACAAAATAAAGCCAAAGGAGATGAGTTGCTATCCCAAATATACTGCACAAAGACAATATGGACATGATTTGCCTTAAGAAACTGATTCCACATTGCCTTATGCTTTTAAATGCTGATTTTAAGTCCTCCAGGAAAACTTGATTTGAGCATGCTTCTCATTTCTGGTTAAAGATATATGTAAACTTAATGGTTCAGACTGGGTGGCAATGGAATTGCAGGATTCAAATCGAATTAAGACTTGCATAGGAAAAAAAGTTACAATCCTTCATTGAACTTCTATAATTCTTTCTTTTGCAAAGCATATAACATGCTAAAAACCCAGAAACAGTAAAATCAGAATGCTTATCAGTATGAAAATGGGTTGGTATTAAAATATGGCCATGTTTCCACCATTTGTCATTATGTTTTACACACAAGAAAGTTTTAGTGTAGGAAGATGTGATATGATAAGCATAGTTACACAGGATTTTTGGCAATAAAGTAACTGCTATTGAAATTCAGTTTTGACAGTTCTCTGAATCTGAAAGACCTGTAAGTACTCAAATGTCATCTGTATATCCATGTGAGATTTAGCTTTGGCAATATCTCAAAAGCAAAATAAAACCATTCTTTCTACACTATATTTTTGCCACTACGCTATTTTCCCCTAAAGCTGTCTAAAAGTGTATACTCTCTTGAGAAGTAAAGCAGGTTTATGTTACAGAAATATTTACAAGGGGGAAATCACTACTAGTTAGAACAGTCATAACAATCAGAGTGGGCCAAAATGTGGGTTAAAGCACAATAGATGGAATTTATCCTCAACAGCTGGTATTTAATTATTCTAAAACACTCAAATTTTGTGATTAATTGATCTGATCAATCTAAATCAAACCATCTGGAATCTTGCCTGATTACTTCAATCTCTGTTTTGTAAGTGAACTTGTCATCTTGCTTAATTTCAATTTTTAATTCCAATTCGTTCAGGGATAGGTCTGGAAAATAAAGCCTTAAGGTCTGTAGGACTATTTTTTAAACATTAAAAAAAGAAGAAGAAGAAGAAGAAAGAGAGCTGAGTGAGTGCTCATCCCTGACCTCAGGCTGTCTTCCAAACTACTAGAAACATGACAAAATATATCCAAAGCAGCGTAGGCAACTTTTAACTTTGGCCTTATTCAACCATCACAAAGGTATCAATGCCCCATTAATGTTAGAATTAGACACAGAATTGTCAGAGATCTGTAATTAATTTTCTGCTAGTGCAAAAATAAATACTCTTTAACTGATGTAAAAACAGGCAGACTGGAAAAAGATTATTCAGTTCCTGTGAAAAAAAGCTGAATTCACCTATTGTCGTTTCTAAGTCAATCCAACTGTGAGGAATTCTACCTATTGTGCTCAGCTGATAAAGACATTAAAATAACAAGAAGTTATGATATATAATCCTCTTGCTGACTACTTACACATTCTTGGATTTGAATGCTTCAGCAAAGTGCTGCACACTGTGAAGAGAAGCAAGGTCTAAGGTCATTGCTTCTACCTTGGCTTTGTGCTGCAATGAGAGAAAATTAAAAAATAAATGAAAAAAAAAGATAAATAACAGCAAGTTTAGTTCACAGTATCACGTTTTAGTAAATGTGTTACAGAACATGTCTGAATTCCCTTATTTAACATTAGAAGCCCATCGTGAATATAGATCATGAAAATGAATGGATGCATGTAGTATTCAATGCCAAATGCAGCATTCTAAGTTTGTGGTTCTGCTAAACATATATACTGTGTGACATACATCTTTATATAACCTAATTAACTGACAGCAGAGACTTTAAGGTTAACATACTCTCTCCTTTGTCCCTTATAGCTAGTGAAATTTGATGGTATGCAAATTGTGAAATAAAAATAAAAAATAAATTATGTTTTTAAAAGATGCTCATGGTAATATACCATAATAGGAAAAAATTGTTACATAACATGCTCAATACTTCAAAATATTCATTCGAATGGTTCTCAATAGGAATTTCAATACCATGGTCAATTTAAAGGCATTCGTCCACATTCCATTGAACTATTTTGATTCCAAACATCAGAGGAATTGAGCCTAAACAGTTACCATTGACTTAGAGTCCTTGCAGTCTAATTTCACTGTAAACCTGGAAGGCTTCTGAGCACCCCATTGTCCTAGCTTCTCTCCTATGAAAAGAGCCATATTTATCATGCTAGGGTACACTGAACCTGCAAAATTCAGCAAAGTTCCATCCCTGGGGAACAAATTGATGTGTCTTTAATCTCACCTTCCAACCCCACTCCCCAGCCATCCCTATCTTCAGAGTCTGCGATAACTGGCGAGGACATCCATGAACCTTTTGCAAGTACTCACACCCAAGTACATCCGTTGACACAAACAAGTTACACAGATTGTCACTGAGGGCATTACGTCCAGCCACATCTGTGCCCTTCTCACTTCTAACTGATCACAGCTCCCTCCCACAACTCCTGAGCCCATCCTCCAAATGGTTACCTGAGTATATCTGAAAAGAACTGAGACACTTTCCCATGTCGTCTCCCCCTCCCTCACCCCTACTAAGGATGTTAAGTAACGGTTATTTTACTAGTTGAGTAGTCGATGGAATTTCCATTGACTACTCGACTAGTGAATAGGCACTTCTGTATCCCTCCTTTAAAATGTGCAAGAGCCCCCATTGGGGCTCTTATACATTTCAAAGGAGGAATGTGCAACTCCACATACAATCTGGGGCCAGCGGGAAGTCCTGCGGACTCTGGGCTCCATGCAGGTGCTTCTGCTTTGGAATGTATAAGAGTCCCCAGAGGAGACGCCCCTTAAGAGTCCCCTGCTGACCCCAGGCTCCATGCTGCACTGCTGCTTTGAAACACCACGCAGAGCTGGAGTCAGCTGCCGCTTTGAAGTTCCCCCTCCCCCTCCTTTGCTGCCTCTATCTGATAGAGGCAGAAGAGTGGGGAGGGAGAGGGGGAAACGGGTACTTCAAAGTGACAGCGCCATCAGCGGGGGGGGGTGTTTATTTCAAAGGAGGAATGTGGAAGTGCCTATCGACTAGTCGATGGAAATTACATCAACTAGTCAATTAACTGGGAGGGGGCCCCAAAGGGGGGGGATCGACTAGTCGACTGACTATCTGATAAGTCGGATAGTCGACTAGTCCTTAACATCCTAACCCGTACCCTCATTTATTTGTTTGCCTGGATCAATAAGAAAAAGTTTTGTGTGTCATTCCATTTAATCTCCAACCTTCATTTAAGCTCCAACCTCTTAAAAATCAGTATAATTGTAATGTGCAGGATGGAGCACGAGTAGAAGAAAAGAGGGTGGCGTGGCAGAAGAAGCCTCAAACATGGCAATACAGTGCAGTAAATGCAAGTATTTTAGGTTGGATTTTAAAGTGGTGTAAACTCTAGATCTGTCCCTGCTGAATGATGGGCTTTACAGCAGTCAGGAAATAATAAGGTGAACACATTTGGAAAAACAAAGCACAGTTGGCAGTGTTCAGTACAGAGAGAAACAGATTTGGCTGCTTTCAAATGCCTTCATAATCCCACCTCAATTGTGCTTCTCACTTTTACTCTTTTTTCTATTTTGTCAATATCCAAACTGCCCATTGCAATTATATTGCAAGTGGGGACTAACTGAAATGTCACTCATACTCCTTTCTTTTTACTCCAGCCCATCTTAAATTGATAGCAAAATAAATACAACTACCATTTCAGCAGATTCAGTTCCCGTCAGAAAACATGAAGTCATTGTGCTTGAAAGGGATAAAAACAACTCTCTTCAAAATACAGTCTTGCCACCCCTCATAAGATGCAGATCACTAAAGCTGGAATTCATTTTGCCCCACAGGAAAATACTTTCTTGTGTTCAAAGCTCTGACAGGCCAGCAAGACAATCCTGGTTTGCCTGATGCCATATTCCTTGGCAGTGGCTCCTCTTCAGCTTTGCAGTTTTAAGCTGTTTACTTAGTAGAATTTATTTTAATTTGTTATTATATAGCTAAAACATTCCATAGTCTTTTCCAAGGGGAAAAGAACAAGAATGCTACAAATACAAGGACAATAAGGGTCAAAAACATCAAGTAGTTCAACAGACTAAACCACAAGCTGTTAGTTACTATGCTCTTGGGGACAGTGATTCACGTCCACACACTATTACTAAGGTAATGCTTTAGCTCTTTGTGTCAAATTTCTGCCACTGACTCTGAGAACGAAGAGGAAGTGCCTGCAATATTGCAAGTCCAAAGAAAAAACATGTGATACCTCAAATCTACTTTCACAAACAGACTAATTAGACTGGATTTGTGCATGGATTTACTGTATATGTAAAATGGGAAGGTTAAAAAGCATGAATAAAATATTAAATTTGATAAATGGCTAAGTGTTATACTTCGATAGCAAATGCAAGCTACAAGTATGGATTTCTTGAACTCTGTCAGTTCAACCAATGTACTGAGACCACCCTGTATAATCAACAGCCCTGTATTTCAAAAAGTTAAACTTATCCCTTCTTTTGCTGCATTTTTAGGTTTGTCAGACACAAAGTTAGAAGAAAAATCAGTGAAAACATTCTTGAAAAATTCAAGGAGAGAGGCCCAAAATGTCCTCTGTTGAAAAAAATATGTTCAAATGCACCTGAAGAGTGAAAATTACACTAAACAAAGAAATTCACTTACATTTCTCAAAGATGCCTACAGTGATTCCTGCAGTATTTCTGCTGTTGGCACAGAGGATCACAAGACCCTGGGCATCAAATTAAATATACCTCTGGAGAAGGTAAATTGCAGCAGCACCCCATTTAGGATAAGTGAGGCATTTTTAAAAGAGCACAAAAGACCTTTTATTGTCTGGAGATTTTAGTTTAATGGGAAAATACTTGTTCCTGGATTACCAAAGGGCCCAATAATGGAATAAACTCCAGCAATTTAGTATCACATCCCCATGAGTCACTTACTCAGTAGTGCTCACATTAAAATCTCAGCTCTCATCAAGATACTGTATAATAAAAACAAACTATGAGCAGAATAATGTTCCTCTGACAATCTCCTTTTCCTTTGCCAATTTATTCTGGCTTCTCCCCACCACTGCTGCCCTATGAAATAGGTTATTTGGTATGACTGAGACAGTAGAGGTCAGCCTTCTTTCAACACCTTCCTTTCAGTTTTATCATTTTGTTTACTCAAACAAATTCACTTTATGTAGGATAGTTATATTTACAAAAACATTGGGTTTTTTTTAATCTCAAAATATTTCCAATATTAGGCACCATCTACAGGAGAAATGGAAACAAACAACAGCCAGTGCACCCACACAAGACCAGAAATGCAGTTGTTTGCTACACTTGTATATAAACAAGCAGGCAAACAACTGATTATCACATGACTTGAAAATGTGTGGGCTTTCTTCAAGCCATGACTGATAAAAAGATGAATCTTGTACTATAACTGTGGCCTTAGGCAAACTACTTCACTTTTCTACCTTAGCTCAATAGATACTCAGCTTCTCCCCTGTAAAATTTAGATACCGACACTCCCAGAGGTATTGTGAACATTGCTTACAGTTTGTATAGTACCTTCCAGGTGTGAAGCACTAAGCAAGTGCTAAGTATTGAAAGTCTTAAACTATCTTTTTCTGAATCATATAAAATATAACATTGGAAAAACTCTAAATAAGACTCACGTTTATACTGCCAGGTCCTAATAATGTAATAATATCAGCCACAACCATTTGTGTGTGTAGCCTCCTTATACAGTAGCTCAGCATTACCTGTGCCATCATCTTTTTCCTACTGTCTCTATATGTGCACACGAATCCTGTATGTGTCATGGTATTTATATACTTACTAAAAGAAAATGTCTGTGCGAGAAGGTATTACTATAAATGTAACCTACAGTCAGAACTGATTGTTAATGTCATTGTGCAAATTCTTACCATTCCACTATACATATTTTTAGTAGTGAATTATGCCTCATTTTATGTTGTAAAATCTTAAATGGGAATTGTCACTTTCAGAATTGCAAGAGACACTGGAGCTTAGTGCTGACATCATAACATTAATACATTAAAGCAGAGAGGAAAGCTACAGAAAACATTTTTATTTAATCTGTCAATAAAAAGATGACATTAATGTTCTCTCCACTACTTAATTTTAAATTAAATTATATTAAAGAGGAACTGCATAGCAGATTGGATTTGGAATAGTTTATAGAGCTTTTCACCTTTAAATCACAAGTTCATTACTTTCTGGTAGCTGTTCGATGGACTGTACCAAATGAGCTGATGCCCTAAATACAGTTTCCAGTGAATAGATGTCCACTGATCTCTCTCTCTCTCTCTCTCTCTCACACACACACACACACACACCTTTCGTCATTCAGACCTTCTGCCTCCCTCTCAGTAAACAGATCAAAGACTAAAGACTAAATGGGAATGATGACTGGCAACACATTCACCATAAAAACGCAGTGATGATGCTTCTACTGTATCATTGCCAACTCTGATTAAAAGGATATGAATTAGTGTCAACTG